TGGGGTCATTAAAAAATCTTCTTCTCAAGAACCACTGGGCCAGAAAAGCTGAAATTTATGTGGAAGCATCCTGGGGTAGTGTAGATATTAAATTGTTAAAATCATGACCCCCCGGAGGTAGGGCGGGGCCACAATAGGGAATCCAAGTTTTACATAGAAATATATAGAACAAATCTTTAAAAATCTTCTTCTCAAGAACCACTGGGCCAGGAAAGCTGAAACTTATGTGGAAGCATCCTTGGGTAGTGTAGATATTAAATTGTAAAAATCATGACCCCCGGGGGTAGGGCGGGGCCACAATAGGGAATCCAAGTTTAACCTAGAAATATATAGAATAAATCTTTAAAAATCTTCTTCTCAAGAACCACTTGGCCAGGAAAGCTGAAACTTATGTGGGAGCATCCTTGGGTAGTGTAGATATTAAATTGTTAAAATCATGACCCCCGGGGGTAGGGCGGGGCCACAATAGGGAATCCAAGTTTAACCTAGAAATATATAGAATAAATCTTTAAAAATCTTCTTCTCAAGAACCACTTGGCCAGGAAAGCTGAAACTTATGTGGGAGCATCCTTGGGTAGTGTAGATATTGAATTGGTAAAATCATGACCCCCGGGGGTAGGGCGGGGCCACAATAGGGAATCCAAATTTTACATAGAAATATATAGAACAAATCTTTTAAAAATCTTCTTTTCAAGAACCACTAGGCCAGGAAAGCTGAAACTTATGTGGAAGCATCCTTGGGTAGTGTAAATATTAAATTGTTAAAATCATGACCCCCCGGGGGTAGGGCGGGGCCACAATTTTTACATAGAAATATATAGAACAAATCTTTAAAAATCTTCTTCTCAACAACTACTGGGCCAGGAAAACTGAAACTTGTATGGAAGCATCCTTGGGTAGTGTAGATATTAAATTGTTAAAATCATGACCCCCAAGGTTAGGGCGGGGCCACAATAGGGAATCCAAGTTTTACATAGAAATATATAGAACAAATCTTTGAAAATCTTCTTCTCAAGAACCACTTGGCCAGGAAAGCTGAAACTTTGTGGGAGCATCCTTGGGTAGTGTAAATATTAAATTGTTAAAATCATGACCCCCGGGGGTAGGGCGGGGCCACAATAGGGAATCCAAGTTTTACATAGAGTTTATTGAACAAATCTTTTAAAATCTTCTTTTCAAGAACCACTTGGCCAGGAAAGCTGAAACTTATGTGGAAGCATCCTTGAGTAGTGTAGATTTTTAAATTGTTAAAATCATGACCCTCGGGCATAGGGCGGGGCCACAATGGGGAATCCAAGTTTTACATAGAAATATATATAGAACAAATCTTTTAAAAAGATCTGCATCACCCAAGTTACTCAGGTGAGCGATGTGGCCCATGGGCCTCTTGTTTTTTTATTTAATAGAAGTTTATGCCTTTGTCTTCCAATAAGATGTATGAACATGCTTAACTTTGGTTTCATCATGCTTTTTTTTCCAAATATACCTAAGTCATTGAAAATGGTTTAGCCCCCCACTTTCCACAGGCACGTCGCAGTATAGTTAAAAAATGAGGAAAGTGGTCGTGTTTGGAAAAAAAAGGCACTGAAGTTCGAAACCCCCCCCCCCTCTCCCCCCTACGGAATAGGATTTTCGTCTTTGGGAAATTGACTTTTTCCTTTTTTTTTTTTTTTTTTGCTTGTCAGGTTTTTTTAAGGTATTAACCCCCCCCCCCCCCAAACCCAACCCCCCACTTTAATTTGCTTTCGACACCAATATGTCTTTATAAATAAAGGCCTCTTAATTTTATAGGAAAAGTAAAACTTTCGGCTTATTACAAGTTAATGATTTTTCTAGCTCATCATACTCAAAGGTGTGTTGTAATCTTAGTGATGCCTTTATCATAACAGTCCACAATAATGAATTTGTGGTGTATAGTAAAATTAATGACCGGTAATGTCTGGCAACTTTTTGTGATCTTGTAATTTTTTTACATTAATTTTGTTAATTTCTGAACAGCGTAACTTGGGACATCACCCATGATGATGACTGTCAAGTCCCAGATTCTTTTATGCGAATATTCAGAGGGTTTAATGTTGAAAATGATGGCTTAATGGTTATTTACAATATTGTATCTGTTGATGATGGTGTTTCATGTGGTAGAAAAGGATTAAGAGTTTATTTTCTTAACAATATAGCGAATGTTTCGGCAAAACTGCTTACAAGAATATCTTTTTGCAATCAAAATTCCGTGCAAATTGAATTCAACCAGAGATGCAAAATTTCTTTAAACAGATGAATACTGATTGTTATGAATGGGGTGCAAGCGCACTCTCATAGATGACTTATTTGGACATAAATCCCGTTATCTTATTTTATATTTGTCCGTAACAGAGTAGGGCGGGTTCAATATTATTTTGCCTAGTTTTGATACGTACATTTTTATTAAGATGCTGCCCATGGCTAGAAAGGTTAAACACTGGCAAATTCCTGCATTAAATGAAAGTTAGAGGAAGCCACCCACCCCTAACGGAATAGAACTATTTGAGGAGGTGTAGTCACAGGGGCCAGTGATTACTAGTATATTTACTTTTTATGTATTAACTATATGAATATATATTTATATACAAATACGAAGCAAGAAATATTTCTTTTGGTGTATTTAGTGAAGAGGTGAAATCAAACATAGATATTATACCCCTGTAGACGCAGTTTATCAGGAGGATTTTTATCGCATGTTAATTTTTTGTGGAGGTTTTCTCCTCCACCCCAACCCAAACTTATACATTCAAAACCATTGCTATTGGGCCTTGCATTGTTAGAATCGCACAAAATATAACAGGCAACATACTTCTATTAAACTGATAATGTCATACCTGGTAGTCAATTATCCATTATCAAGTCATTTCTTTGTTTACAATCAAATAATTTTTATTGCCCTATATGACGTTACGTCACGTTATACCAATTATGACGTTCCGTTCACAATTTTCTAGTAAAACAATGCCATACTGCAAACTCTCTTAAAGAAAAAGTAAAATAGATATCCAAAAAAGGAAAACAGTTCCATAAAGCTTGAAGTCTATTCTATCTATTATCAAAATTTCATTAATTTTTTAGATGAGGCATTTTTTGACCATTCGTGGGCTTAACTCTTTAATGCCTAAATTTTAAGGAGAGTGAAATATCTTTTTCTCTGACTAAATTACAAAATTCTTAGCATTTTTTTAACCTGTGGGAAAGCACAATGAAATGGATTGCTCTTGATAGACTTTCAGGATTTATTCTGTAGCACTATGTGGACCCCATGATGTGCTTTCTATAATGAGAGGTAATTATTTGCTCTGAGTTGGAACGGTTTACCTTATTATGAGGTTGTATTTTTGTTAATCATGGAAATAGCACAAGAGCAAATAGTATTGAATTGTTTATTATACAGGGCCCGAAAGAATAAGGATCACTGCCTAATATAACCAGCAATAGTGAAAAGAAGTCATTGTTCTTGTAAAGTCTACATTGTTGAAATGAAATTTAAAAGCAATAATTTTCTGTCAATTTACAAAAAGAAAAATCTTTCGGGAATGACACCTTAATGTAGTTTAATTGCTTTTATTATATGGTAACTTTTTGTGATTTAGAAATTGCATTGTTCTGAAAAGGCCTTTGCAAACAAAAAAAAAAATTTAAAGTAAATAATCATGGCCAAGGGTCTTGGCACAGAATAGGAAATGAACACGTGGCATGAAAAAATAAAACAGAAATTACTGAGTGATAAACTATCCACATGGAGGCATATTTTTGTCTGGAGCAGGGATAATCAGCCTGCTGAAGTAGAAAACTCTTAAAAACAGCAAAACTAAACTAAAGGCAGCCTCCTAACATTGTTTTTGGACTTTTTAAAGCGGAGAAAAACCAGAGAGCTTTTTCATGTCCTACAAAACTTGTAGATCTCCAAAAGAAGTGAGATAAAGGAAACTGCATTTTGGTAATAAAACTGAATGCATATGCTTGTACAGAAAAACTTAAGTGATTTTAATGGGTGTATCTTGAAAACTTCTACCTATATTTCCAAATTTCCAGTCAGAGATATTAGAAGGAGTTGTGAATTCTAGTTTAGTTATACATGTATTATGTTTAAACATCTGAAATATTTTCCATATATAATTCAACAGCAAATTTCAATATGCATTGCTTTCATTTATCGTGAAAATATGCCTCATGTTTAAAAATGATCAACCAAAAAAAAAATAGAAAATGAAAAATTTGTTGGCTAAGTACAAATTGCGCATTTCTGCCCTTATTATGTTTCTGAGATGAAAAAATTTATGTGCTGTTTTTAACTAGGATAATAATAAGCATAAATCATAAAACCCCAAGCTATGTACTGCAACATCCTGTCCAAACATGAAAGGTCAAACAGTAAGGTCATGTGCTTCAAATGAAATGTGGGCAAAATAGTTTGAATGTGCATTCCATTTATTGCCACACTACCATTAAATATTCCCACTAATTATTTTAAACAGTTGTATGCTTTGCCATAATTTTTAAACAGTTGCTGCAAGGACTTACATATTCCATATCTGTATTTCATGTAACAAGAGTTTTTCCTTGGGTACCAACGTATTTGACCACATTGCCTTGAACTTAGAATGTGACAGCTGAAAAAAAAAATGCTTGAAAAATATTCCGATCGTAACCACATCTTTTGAATGGTTGGTACTAGGGCTTTCATAATGTTTGTTCCATGTAAGATGACTTTTCTTTGGGTATCAACATTTTTGACCTCATATCTTTGACCTTTGAGCTTGACCTTCTTTTGAAGAAGTTCACCTTTTACCTTGGCCATAACTTGCTAGGGTTTCATATTTCACATGTACTTTTTCTGTTACTGTACAGTCAAGATCTTTTCTGTATTTACAAATCTGACCTGATCTGAAGGACAGGAGAATCTGAAGATTATATGTAAAATACAAATGCCAACAAAGCGTAAAGCTTAACACATATTTAGAAGACAGTGGAGCCACTATGTCAGAATCTCTTGATGACCATTACATCACTGATGACAAAGATAGGAGAAAATAGTCACTAGGTCTCAATCATTTTATGAAATGATAACATTTACATTGAGTCTAACTCTAATCAGACATTAGAGGGTAACAATTGGTCTGGAGTTCTGTGTTAGCATTGTCATGTTTTGTCCCTTATCAGCCCCTCTATCTGCTAGGTAATGGTAAGGTGGTGTACAATGGGATCAGCCTGCAATCCTTTCACAGATAGGCACATAATCACGGGAGATTTCTCCACCTCTAGGCATCGCTGTTTCCTCCCCATAGTCCTGATTAGTGGTCAAGATAGAGTTATCTGCCCCAGTAATGCAGTGTCTGTCTTGGTGACTTCCTTCACAGTGTCAGGGATAATTCCCGAGTTTCCTGGACTAAACACCACAGCTCAATTACAATGGTGTCCTCTGCCATTCTGAAGATGTAATAGAGAAAAATTGATGTATTGTAAAAAAGATTGAAGACTCTTTATGAAGTTCAACATTGATTTTGTTTTAGAAAAAAAACAATTTCAGTAAGCTTACAATATTTGTAGTAAAGAAAGCTGCAAGGATAGGAAAGCTGACAATAGCAGTTTTTATGTGAAAACATTATTGTAAAAAAAAATTATGTCATAAAACAAGATGTCTGGAAAATGTACTGAAGGTAACTTATTAAAATGCCGTATGCAAGATAGTGAACATGTATATACATTAGTCAAGGATTAAAATGTAAAATTTTGAGACCGTAATGTACAATATTACTAACTTGACTCATAAGTCATTGGTAGATTCAGTAATTTATTCATATCTCTTAACCTTGTATGAAGAAGCAGCACGATTTGCCATTTCAGATGCATATGTTTTCAAGCTGATTAGAAGAAAATTAATGACTAAAATTATTATTAAAAATCCATTTTTGCATAATAATTAATGTAGGGTTGTCTGCAAGCAGTAAGATAGAAATATTTTAAATACATTTTTTTCACTAATGAATTGGACTACAGGTATTTGCACCAGAATTTTTAGCTTTGTGTAGGATTGATCTTTGGAATTTGACTGATATTGTAATTACTTGCTTTTTATTGGTGTTTTGAAAAAGAAAGCATGTAATTTTAATACATGTAAAAAGATAATAGTGAAGGTCTTTCATGATTTCAGAATCAGGAGTATGTGCTGGTGCAATATAGAATTACCCATACCAGACAGTAGTAAAAGAGTGGGGAATATATAAGGAGGAAAAGTCCACTTTGTATTATATAAATATTACTTTTATATACCAAGATAACAATTATGTGTACAAACAAATCAAAGCTAAAAGAAGGATATGGGGAGAAGAGTTTATCTAATCTGATAGAACACAGTGACTATACTTTGTGTTGGCCGTAATTTCATGCTGTAAATTATTCTACTACAGTACATGGAGTGCTTGAAGGAGACACACATCTGAAAGTTTGTCTGGCCTTCTTGAGAGGTACAGAAAAATACCAAATGTTATTTGTTCTCACTGTGCCAAAACTCGTATATCAATATACATTTCAAACTCGACAGGTTAATGTCGTAGGATTTAAGCAGAGGTCAGGCAGAAAATTTACCTGAATGTGTACCTGGAATACAGTATTGTTCCCATCCATACCTGTCACTCCATGACTTGTAGGGCGGAGAAGGTTTGTGACCCTGATTTTTAAGGGTCGCTGCACCTAGATTCTTTTTTGGGCAGTTTTAAATGGAAGCCAGAGGGAGTAGAACTCTGTACCGCGTGTTAGATTTCATAAATAAGAAGCCTGAGCTGTTTCGCTGATTTGTGTAGTGCTCTGGTAAAAAAAGCATTCTCATTGATAATGGAGCATACCTACTTCTAACCAATGTCTACAGGAAATAGCACACTGAATGTAAAAATGTGTGGCTTTAATGGTTTCTGGTTTTTTGTTGCTATTAGGTGAATGATTCCTGCACGTGATTTTTTTTAGTTTTTCTGGGGCCGAGTGCAGATAACTGGAGATCTTTTTTCTTGTGACTTTAAGTGTAGAAAACTAGTGGTGTACATGTAGATGTATTTGTACCGGGATTCCAGTGTGTAGAGTTTTTATTGCCCACAGCTCCACTGATAGCATCGTTTCTTATACTTGAAAGAAGGTTAATTAGAGAAACGTTTATAGAATGTCATTTCTTCTACTTTCTGAGGGAAGACTTGGTAAGTGTTGCCTTTTTTTCAGTATTATTTTTCTCTACGAAATGCTCAACCACAAATGTTGTAAAAAAATTATATCGCTGTTTATTACCATGATTTTAGATTTTGCTTGTATCATCGTGTTATCTTCTGTTGTGAGTGTAGAAAAAGAGTGCTTCGAGGAATTTTGATGTCTGCTTTTGAATTCATTAAAGCATACTATTAAAAAAAAATGTATGCCTGAATTTAATGAATGTGAATTTGCATAAGGTGACAGGCATTCTGTGGGTTGTGTTATGATTAATATGGTGTTCTTTTGTTAAGAAGCTCGGCTGTGTATTTCGAGGAGCGTTTAACTCAGGTAGATGGTCTCGTTTATTTTCTTCACTGCTGCCTCTCGTGAATCATACCTATGCCCTGAATAAAGGTACTGTTCTTCTCATTATTCACAGTATTGATAAATTTTTCGGAATATTGAGCAAATGGGATAATTCCGTCAAAAGTAAATTTATTATCTTCCCTAGGCTCATGTGTTAAATTTTGTTTGTGGTGTAAAGGTTTATTAATGTTATCAAAGGTGATTGTGGCTCCTTTCTCTTTTTTTGGTATGAGTGTATGGATACAAAGATTACTTTTAGTATTCTATGTTGAAGTTTGATAAAAATATCAGAGAAATGACATAGAGTTACAGAAATAGTGACATGTACTCTATCAGAATTGTATATATCCCATGTACGGTAATATAAAAGAAATATATAGAGGTAACTGTGATTCAAAGTTTGCTTTTATTTTATTTCCTAGAAATATTAAGATAACATAATCCCAGTCAGAAAAATTTTAACTGTATACTGTATACAGGGTTATTTTCACCCTTTCACACTTGCAAACAATTTTGCCCTGTTTTAAATTCGCCCAGTCATAGTTTTGTTTAAGAAATTTTACTGTTTCCTTCGAATTCAGCGTAGGGCGAAAGGGGCGAAAATAAAACGGGGACAAAAATTTCCCTGTATACAGTATTTAGTGTAATTCCTAACCATTTACTATAGAATATTCATTTCTTTAACTTAGCCCATAAAACCAGACATTCCTCACATTATTGTGTGTAGTCTACCCTTGGGTTAAAGAAAAAAAATTCATTCTGTGATGCAAACTGTGCAGGACAGTTAGATTTTTTTTTAAGTGCCTTATTTTTCTTTTTGCTAATAGGAGACTATTTTAATGCTCCGAAGATTAAAAAATGGAAATCAATTAACTATTTGTAAATATGTATAAATCATAGAAGTCGGTGGCGCAGATTTTACAATATTGCTCTAGGGTCTGTTTGAGTCTTGATTGTTTAATTTCTTGATATTAATCATGCTAATGATGCAGGCTTTTGCAACATTCACAAATTTATCTCCAGGCAAAGTATGGATGCATCCATGACCATTTGTTATCCTCTGTTTCTTTTTTCTGTAATGATTTAATTCTCTCTCTCTCAGGTTTTGTATTAATAAAAAACTGAGTTTTAGTATGGGAGGTCTAGTTAGGATTCTTTTTCTCGGTTGATGAATTTGAAGATGTTTTGAATCTTTGGCACTACTTTCAAAAAGTTCATTTTTTTTCTGTTTGTTACTGGTTAATGAGTAAACAAAAAATTGTAACAGATTTTTTTAATGTTACATTTACAGGGTAAATATATGAGGGCAAGGCCTCTATACTTTTACTAAAATATGTTTTTTATAAAGGTAAGATATGACATATATTTTTTTTTTACAGGGTTGCCAAAATGGCAGTAAATGTTAAGACGGAACCACCCGGGATATTTTCTTGCATCAACGTCAACGTCATGGACGATGATAAAGAAAAGTCATTTCAAATGCGCAAAACAATGATGAAAAAAGAATCCATTGACCCAAAATTTCGCAAAGAGCTGAAAGTGGATGTAGGAGCTGGAAACTTCCAAAATGTAAGTATAACACTCCATGTTGGCAATTCTTGGCTAATTTAACTATGCTACCAACAGTCCTAGGATGTAATTGGTATAGATATATACCTGTACATCCTTCCCCTAAACAATCTTTTAATTATTTTGCCCAACACACTGTATAAAGAACACCTACACCTATTCTTCTTTTTTGTGAACTAATTCCCCCTTTTATAAATACAACTTTTTGTGATTTGAGGGCATAAAACTTTTGTTGGATAGGCAACGAAATGAACAGGAATTCGAATGAATAATTTTGAGGAATTTCAGGCTTGACCATATACTAGTAAGCAAATTAGTTGAACAATGATCACATACAGGGTTAGTGGTTAAGATTCAGGCCATATGAGGAGCTCTGAGTTTACAAAATAACAAATAGCAACATATATATTACAATGACTCTCATTGACTCTCATTGAGTCTAAATTGGGGGATGAAACCTTAGGTTGTAACTATCAGATGTTGTAAGGTAAAATCTCATGTAGATCAATAGGAGTGAAACGGTTCACCGCGGTATCGGTTCACCGCGGTATTTTTTCTCGGTTCGATACACGGTACAAAATCTCTACTTTCGGTTCGGTTCGTTTTTCGGTCGGGATCGTCATTCAGTCGGGTTTGGCATAAGGTATAAACATGCTTTTCTGTATAATATAGTTCAGAAACGTAAGTTTGTGTGGACTTGAAGTTTGTAAAATAATTTTTAACAGTCAAATCAATAAAATTGATACATTCTATCCATTTTCATTTTTGCACATAAATTATTTTAGTAGATTAAGTAAAAGGTAGCATAAGACAACATTGAATCTGTTTCCTTCTATCAAAATGTATCGTATCGAAAATAACCGAACCGAGACCAAATTTTTCGATACGTATCGAACCGTGAAGGAGGCGTATCGTTTCACCCCTATAGATCAAATAGTTTGAAAATGATTTAGTCTGTGTCAAAGACATTGGACCGTCAGACCTGACCGATGTGCAGTGGCTATGGTCCGATGCATCATTTTTTGAGCTTTAGCATTTTGAGGCCGAGTCTTTTAAATGTTTGATTTAAGTAAATAACGTCACACAAATCCAAATAGATAAATGATTTGGATTAAAACGGCATACACCCTATACAGTATTATAATTTTTCACATTAGGTTTATTAGTCTGACAAAATTTGGTTGGTTCTCTGTGTTCATTGATTACTCAGGATGGCAAGTCTTGAATGATCCAAGAAACTTTTGCATAGACTAATCATATACATTGCATATGTCAGAGTATTTCTTGCATTTATATTATAAACAATCAGTGAAAGTATATTTTTCATGACAAATTTAAGTAAAACCTACTAAATGCAATGAAATTAATTTTTCAAGGTCACAGAGTATGATTAAATTGTTTTACTTTATTTGAAATATCATACAATGACGTATGCAATATACAGCATCATTAAATGACTTAAATGTGTAGTAGTCTAGTATATTCATATACTGATAATTGATTATAATATCTTATCATTTGATCTTTGATTAATTAATGATGACCTTTAACCAAGCCAAAGTCAGAAGATTAAATTCCACACTTTGTTATTATGAAATCCTATGACATCACAGATTTTGCCATGTCATTATCATTTTTAGGTCACCTGAGTCACTCAGGTGACCTATTGCTATCTGTTTTCGTCCGTCGTCGTACGTCGTTCGTCGTCAATCGGTCGTAAACTTTTGAACATTTTCAGCTTCTTCTCTGCAACCACTGAACCAATTTCAATCAAATTTGGCACAAAGCATCTATGGGTGAGGGGGAACAAAAATTGTGAATTTCATGATCCCTGCCCCCCTGGGGCCTGGGGGGTGGGGCCAAAACCAGTAAAATTAATGCAATCTTTAAAAATCTTCTTCTTTACTCCTGGACATCAAGCAGTCAAACTGTTTGCATGATTGTAATTAGCATTGAGTCCTCTACCAAAATTGTGAAATTCATGGCCCTGGGGTCAGGGGTTCTAGTGCTGGGGCAGGGCTAAATAAGTATATAGTGAAAAAGCATTATTTCTTTGAAAATCTTCTTCTCTGCTCCTGTATTAAATAAACTAACTAAGTACATAGTTATGATGAGCAATAGTGCCTCTACCAAAATTGTGAATTTTAGGGCCCCAGGGTCAGGGTTTCTAGTGTTAGGGCGGGGCTCTATTGATTATATAGTGAAAATACATGAATTCTTTGAAAATCTTCTTCTCTGCTCCTATGTTTTAAATAAACTAAATAAGAACATAGTTATGATGAGCAAGAGTACCTCTACCAAAATTGTGAATTTTATGGCCCCAGGGTCAGGGGTTCTGGTGTTAGGGCGGGGCTCTATTGATTATATAGTGAAAATACATGAATTCTTTGAAAATCTTCTTCTCTGCTCCTAGGTATTAAATAAACTACCTAAGTACATAGTTATGATGAGCAAGAGTGCCTCTACCAAAATTGTGAATTTTATGGCCCTAGGGTCAGGGGTTCTGGTGTTAGGGCGGGGCTCTATTGATTATACAGTGAAAATACATGAATTCTTTGAAAATCTTCTTCTCTGCTCCTATGTTTTAAATATACTAACTAAGAACATAGTTATGATGAGCAAGAGTACCTCTACCAAATTGTGAATTTTATGGCCCAAGGGTCAGGGGTTCTGGTGTTAGGGCGGGGCTCTATTGATTACACATGTATAGTGAAAAAACATTAAATCTTTGAATTTTTCTTCATGTGCTGTGTATTAAGCAGATGAACTACCTATATAGTTATGAACAAAGGCCCTTATCTTCAAGAATTGTGAATTTCAAGGCCCCAGGGTCAGCAGTACCATAGAGGGGGGGGGGGGGCTGTACTTATATACTGAAAATGAATGAATTGTTTGAAATCTGCTCCTTGGTATTAATCAAATATTTTTGAAAAGCAAGGATGCCTTTTTAAAAATTGTGCAAGATTCAAGGGTTCATGTGTGGTAGAGTCACTACTGATTATTGCTGAATATTACTGATTTGTTGAAATGCATTTTTTGTTCCCTTACCCTGCCTATGGGTATTAAGTAACCAAACTAAGCAACTGCTAAGTGTATAGTTATGATGATCAAAATTGTAAATGCTATTATAATAGCATCTGGCTTAAAACATGGATCAGATTCAATCACTGCAGGAAAGTTGTTGCATAATGCTCAGGTGACCTATAAGGCCCTTGGGCCTCTTGTTGCAGATTACCATATTTTTTTTTGGTGGGGTTAGAATTTTGCAGCAATTTTCAAGATCTCCATGAGTAGTGGTCTGATTTAAATAAAACTTTGTACAAAAATTTACGATGTTAACTGTGTTTGCATTGGTTTTTGATTGTAAAGTATTATCAGCTGTTGATGGCCAACATAGAAGTTCCTGTGAAATTCTTTCTGAACACTACTTTAATACATGTAATATACACTACAGTTTTTTTTTTTCTTATTTGTTTTTTCAAAAATGCAAGAAATGTTTGTGTATATATGATACACAAAGGCACATTTTTATGAACAATTCTTTTAGAATAAGTGTTCTTAGAAGACATCATCTCCTCTACAGTTTTCAACCAACTTCAAACTTGGTAAACATGGAAACTATACCAAAGACTTCTTTTGCTTGATATCGTCGTAATTTAACTTCCAAATTAAGAGTACATAGTCAAGTAAATCTTGCAAAATTGTATTTTGAAAACTTTAAAATATATATATTATTTGTAAATGTTAAACTGAATTTAATTGAAATATTTTAGCACTTGTATCTAGATGAATTGGAAAAGTACACATTTATTCAAATGTCATTTGCAAGTATACTAAGAGTGTTAATTTTATTAGGTATCCGATAATTAATTATGTACCCCCTCCGTTTTTTCTTTGAATTAAAAATAAGTTGATTGCCCTTAAAGAATGACTTCAAATTGTACACATTTTTATGCCCCCCTTCGAAGAAGGGAGGGCATATTGCTATCTGTCGGTCCACTTAGTTTCCGTTCATTTTCTTCGCAACCATTGCACATACTGAAATGAAATTTTGCATACAGGTATATCACCTGAATATCTGAAGTTCTGTTTTGGGTACAAATCCACCATTTTTGACAGAGTTTTGCCCCTTGGACTTAGAAAAATTTCAATTAATTGCAGTTTCTGTTCATTTTCTTCGCAACCGTTGTACATACTGAAATGAAATTTGGTATACAGATATATCACATTAATATATAGGTCAAGTTTTGTTTTGAGTATGATCGCACCATTTCTGACAGAGTTATGCCCCTTGGACTTAGAAAAATTTCAATTATTTGCAGTTCCATTCATTTTCTTTGCAACATACTGAAATGAAATTTAGCATACAGATTTATCAGAGGAATATCTAGGTCAGGTTTTGTTTTGGGTACGATCACACCATTTTTGGCAGAGTTATGCCCCTTGGACTTAAAATATTTCCAATTATTTGCAGTTTCAATTCATTTTCTTCACAACCATTGCACATACTGAGATGAAATTTAGTATACAGTTTTATCAGATGAATATCTAGATCAAATTCTGTTTTGGGTACCATTGCGCCATTTTGGACAGAGTTATGCCCCTTGGACTTATAAAAAAAATTGCAATTATTTGCTAGCAATTTCCTTTCATTTTCTTTTCAGAGGTTGCACATACTGATATGAAATTTGGTATACAGATTTATTAGATGACTATCTAGGACAAGTTCTGTTTTGGTTACAATCGCGCCATTTTTGACAGAGTTATGCCCTTTTGGACTTGGAAAAATTCCAATTTGGGGGGGGGGGGGGGGCATAAGTGTTTTACAAACATCTCTTATATTAAATATAAATTGTACATAATATATTAAATGAAAACATCATCATAGGCAGATCAAAACATTTTTCACAAAATTCATTCTCATGCAGGCAACACTTTTTATACCATATAAAATAATTTGTTTATCCAATCATATGGCATGTTACAATCAGATTTAAATT